TGTGCTGCTTCCATGTGGGCTTTGTTGCTTCTGGGCTAGATGGGCGCTTGTTTACTTTAATGTGACTGATTATTATACCCAACAATAAGTTTTTGGTGCCATGCTTACTCTGAGAAAATGCAGCTTCTTTTTGCCCCCACAAATTATATTTTAATTCCATCCTTTAAGTGGCCAGCAGGTCTTATCTAATCAATTAGTTTTTACAGTTACTTGTAGGTTATCTTTTCTTTAAACTCGGGTTTATGGCATGCCTCTATAAACTGGTGAATATGAATTCTTGGATAAGAAAAACCCATCAAGAATAATAGCTCCACTCAGATGTTTGATATTGCTAGGTTGCAAAACATAATCGACGAGTTGTTCATTGCATATATTGCTTGTGGTGCATGATAATGGTGACACAAAAGGGTGACTAATAGGATCATTCATTTCTCATGCCTTGTTTTTTGGAAAACAAAACAAAAAACCAACACTGCAAAATTAATTTTGAGTTTCACTACTCCTACTGAAAATACTCATACAACTCTTCCTGGCTGGCAAAATTTTTTTCTGCAGTGTATATTCCCAAAGTCATAATCCATGGACAGAGCTGACGATTTTCATTGGCTCAGCTTCAAAGCTCTTTCGCATGAAGATTCAGGGTCACAAAAGATACACGGCCCAAATCATTCCTGCTCATCCTATTGGGCTCACTTGCTCCGCGGGACCAAAGACAGCAATATAAAGACAGAACAAGTCTGGAAACTTATCTGTAGCTTTTAAGTTAGTCACTATACTTTATGTTGTATACAAGAGGCAAGGTCGAAACTTGATTCTTAGAACACTTCTAGTATGTCACGTCTAGTCTGCAAGGTAAAATTTGGAATGAAAATCCAAAGTCCAAAAGCAGCTTTCCCAACCAAATCCATTCCCTGCAGCGTGGGGAAGTAGTAAGTCTGATGTCAGGGCCGTTTTGACTATGGAGATGAATTCCGAAGACGGCATTCCACTTGCCCCCAGAAGAGCAGCTCTTTTCAGTACACAGTGCACCAGTTGCTGCCATCACTTGGCATCAGCCCTCCAGTAATGAGCAAAATAAGGTCCACAAACCACCAAATCCCAAGTCCTCCCAGTGTCAACAGCTTTCCTACTGCCGTGCCCGTGTGTCCCAGACAGAATCGATCCACTCCAAAACACCCCAGGAAAAAAGAGTAGAGTAACGTGGTTATGAAGTAGTGTCCGGTATACCTAGGCAAAAGGAACGAAAAGAAGATGCTTAACCACATAAAAATGAATTTAACGACAAGTGAAAAGGTGGTGAAAGAACTGAAGGAACAGTCCCTGTGACATCTTACCCCTGTATCCTCCCAGAAAATAAAAATCTCTTAATGGTCTAGAGTCCCCAAAGGTACTTGCTAAGATACTGACTTGTGCAGCTGGATTGGAAAGAGATTAGGGAGCACATTTTCACAATAGGCACCTTGATAGGGTGCCATCTGCCTCCACTGCCTCTGCCTTTCTGTTCCTGAAGGCTGGATAATCTAAGGAAACACTGTCTCCTGGAGATGAGTATTAGATCTTCATACAGCTTCCCTGCTGTTTCGTAGTGTTAGCAGCTAAAAGCACTTTTAAGTATTGACTTCTCTCCTTACACATTGTTATGACAATTGTGCTCTAATAGTATCTACAAATTAATGTGCTCTAATATTATCACTAAACCTCCCATCAGTTCTTAACACTAGCAGGTGGTATAAGTCAATTCTGTGCTTTCAATGGACACTTACAGAGAGGCCACTAATCATTTGAAGTCAAACCAAACCAGTCGCTGTGGAGCCAATTTTGACTCTTGCCAATCTTGCACTCCAGAGCAGAGCTGATGCTCCACAGGGGTTTCAATGGCTGCGCCCTTTTGGAAGTAGGCCATTAAGCCTTTCTTCCAAGTACCTCTGGGTGGATTTGAAATACCAAC